CCTAAAAATGAGTCCAATTTTCATTTCACTATGCATGACTGCTACTCTGTGGATACGTGTGTAAACATAATCTTTGTTGGTTCCAGTCCATAAATTCTGCATCATGCTGCGTTGAAATAAAAATCAGTGATTGTGGGGTGTCGGATTTACGGGATGAATCGTGCAAAAAAAAATTCCCTGCTGCTGAGCGGCGGGAAGAGGGAAGACACGGGTGGGACATATAGCACAGGTTATTGCTCTTGTTTAATGTCACGGAAAGCACATCCATCTGAGTGGAGGCAAATAATCTACTGCTGTGGGAAGCACCTCTGGCAGCAAACCACTCTTCTGGTAACAGATAGCAGCGATGTGTTCCATCAGCAGCCAGGCCTGTAGCCAGACTGAAATCCTTCCCTGTAATGTCAAATAGCATAAATCCCTCAATTACCAACATGGGATTGAGCTGGGGCCAAAGGTGATGCCACCCCCCCTCCCCCCCAGGTTATTAAAACCAAAGTGACAGATACTTAGCAGATTTGTCCTGAGTATAAAAATAGCCACGGTTTAATGACTGTGGAGATTCCAAATATGTGTTCGTGGCTGTGTCTGTGAACTGTGAGAGTTATCTGACTGAGAAAGTTGTGCTCTTCCCCCGGAGCTCCAGTCAATTTACGTCTTGAGTCATGGCCTTTTCAGATCAAGCTGTTTGATCCCGCCGTTCCGACTCTGCCATCTGCTCCTGAGCTTTGCAGCCCGCTCGGTGGGCATTTCTGGCCTACTGACCGAGGCAGCGGTGTCACCTGGTCCAGATGAGGCAGCAGAGTTTCCTCTCATTTATCTTAAAATAAAAAAGAAAACTCATGTCTGGGTCTGCGTGTGTGTGCGCTTTAATGGCATTTGGGAAGTGAATTTGTTTAAGTGGCAGAGTGGGTGGCTCCCTGCCTGTAATTGAGGCTCTTACTGTATTGAGTTTCCATGTTCTCTCTGTTCATGTGTGGGTTTCTTCCAGTTTTTCCCACAGTCCTAGAACATGCGGGATTAGGCAAAGTTTGACACTGAATATTGATTTTCCGTTTGAGTTTGAGTGGTTGTTTTGCTCTACACGTATTGTAGGATGGACTGGCATAAAATGGAATTATCATTCAAATATAAATATGGAGGAGAAATCTGGCTGTTTTAATCACAACCCTTTTGTTAGGTAACTGAGTATTGACAGTGGGTGAAAAACATTTACTCAGACATACACAAGGTTTTCTTATTTGTTGAAATGATAGAACTGTTACCCAAGTGGAACAAACCGAATCTCTGTGGGGAAAAATATCAGGAGACACCACTGTGTGTGTGTGTGTTAAAGTCATGGCAGTAATATATACAGATGACCAAGTTTTTCTTTTCTTTTTTTTCACCATGATAAAGCTGCTACATAAAGATGATTAATAGCACTGACAGTAACAGCGTCTGCAGGTTCAACTCATGGACCATATGAAAAAAAAACAAAAAAACACGTCATTGGCAAGCTGTGGTTGCACAGTGAGACCATGGTAGAATACCAGAATTTTTCTTCTGTTACTGTAGAAGATGTCACATCGATTTATTTAAGTTTATATTAATTTGTCTTAAATGCTTAAAATCTTTTTTTTATCCGTATATCTTATATGCTGGTTAAGAAAGCGTGGCTGTGTGTTTGCGTAAAATGTTGTCAGTATGATTTAAAACAATAGCATTGTATGCTAATAAGAGACGTGTTTTATTTAGCTGGAGCTAGCTAGCTAGCAAACCAAACTATTTTTTAAAATAAAAAACAAGTGCTTTTGTGCTTATTGACACTTTAGAGATAAACACAGCTGATAACAATGATGCAGCACTGACATGATAACTCCTCGACGGGAGATTTGTACCATGGTTAAGTACAGCCTTGTTGACCTTTATGTTAAAACCTTATAGTAATACAAATAGGAATTGTAACCCACAGGTGTTAATGGAATTGTCTCCTAAACTGTTAGTAAATTGGAGTGAGTAAAGCACCAGAGATTTAATTACCTTGTCAGAAAACTGTTATGATCACTTTAATATTCAGAGCCTCAGCTGACGGGGTTAATTTCACATTCATTTCGGTTAACTGTAATTTCTGTCCAATATCCCTCATACAGAAGAAAGGAAAAAAAGTCTAAATTTAGCCTCAACCTCTTTCTGAACTCCCTTCCACTGTTATAATTTTAAGACCGTCCCTTGGAGGAGAGGAGTAAATTTAGGAACTGAGGATATTGAATTTCTGACTATCCAGCTATTCCAAATTAGGGGGGGTATTGATTCGATGGAAAAGCAAGTGTTGACAGTGCATTGAAAAATTTGCAAAAGGCAACTTGTTGAAAAGACGGTCAGCGTTACTACTGGATCGATGTGAAACTTGAACTGGCACTTCTCAGATATTAGGAACTCAAAGATAAATATTCTGATGTTGAATGCGATCCCATGGGGAGATGGGATTTTTTTTAAAAACGAAGAAAGAAAAAAAAGGTCTTAATAGATGTAAGAACAGGTTTCACAATAAAAGTCACTCAGATCGGCTAAAGATGGTGGGTTGTGTCAATCATGATCCGGAGGAGGGGAAAACAGAACTATACGCCATGATTAAAGTCGTCGTCATTATAGTGTAATTATGGCAATTACATGTCATCTGTCGCGGGTATTCAGTATACATTTTTTAAATTTAGCTCCAAAGTGTGCAAGTGTTTTTAGATTGCTAATTGCGTCTTCGTCAAGACACTGAACAGTGACAAACAGCAGTAACGGTTTCAACCACGGGTATCTGTTGAGCTCTGGAACCTCAGAAGTTTTCTTTTTTATAAGTTGTAGGAAATACAGAGAGCAGTTACCGTAGGAAGGTGAGTTCAAAAGTCTGTCAGAAAAGAGGGAGGGCTTTTGAGCGTTACGCCGTGTTTTCCTGTTTGTGGGGTGCATCGCGGGAGGCCTTGGCTTACATCCAACTGGAAAATGAATGCCAGACGATCAAAGGGATGAATGCCAAAGTGATTGCTACTGTGCTTTATAACACTGTTTAAACATTCACAGGGTTTCCACTAAATTAACATCTCCTTTGGTGGGGCTGCGCTTTGATACAGCAGACAAAGACCTGACACGTACATGGTGATGGTTTTGTCATTACTGATAGGAAAAGTCCCGTAGAGAGACTTTTTTGTGAGTAAACAATAACGGCACTTCGCATTACTGATAGGAAAAGTCCCGTAGAGGAGAGACTTTTGTGTGAGTAAACAATAACGGCACTTCATTACAGCAGGTGGATTTGCTTTTCTTGGGAGATAATTTTCGATCATGTAGCAAGATTGTTACAACCAAGAGACAAAAACACAGTTATCTGTTGCTGTCGTCATGAGGATAATTTCGAGTAATCAAAAAAGAAAATTAGATTAAAGCCTGAATGTTTGGGGAAAAAAACACTTAGCAACTTGTATATTTCTATTCAAACACTGTCAAGCTTTTTCAGATTGAAAATGTTATCATTACACTAATAATAACAACCAGTTACACCAATTCCTACAGTCAACTACCATATTTTCTGGACTATAGACTGGTCCTGAAATTTATATAGAAAAATAGCCTATATATTAAAAATACGCCATATCATTGATGGCCACAAGAGGGCACCATTTTAGACTTGCAAAAACTGAACTCTGCTACTTTACCACAAGAAATTACAGTACAAGACTGAATAAAAAACTATTTGTTTTTTTATTCAGGTCAAAAGAACACAAACACAATGCAGCCAAGAAGAAAAAGAAAAAGCTATTGGCTAAATATTTGATGTTTGACCTGGTGGTTTGCTCCTGTTGCTCTGCTCCTCAAGCTAGCTTGTAGCTATCTAGCACAAAATGGATTGAAATAATTAACGAAGGAATAGGAAATACATTCTTAAAGTCTATGGGTTTTTTTTGTCGTAGCATTGTCTCTGGGTTTATAGAGGGGTCTCTGGCTAGAAGCTACAGTAATACTTTTTGTAACAGTTTGGCGGACTTTGGCACGGCAAGTTTGAGAACCGCTGATGTACTGTACCACTCTTTAAGTTATTGTCTCTGCTAGTTACATTCTAAAAAAAATATCAGAAACATTGAGAAAAGTGTTTGTAAAACAAGAACCATTTTGTGATTTGTCACAGTTTACACTTGATGCTAATGCTATCCTTTCCATTCATGTTTGCAGTCTGTCGTAAACACAGCATTTGGAACCAAGAGGACCATTTGTTACTGCAGTCACAGTATGTTGCTAATTTTTTGTCTCTATTTTCTACCATACTTTCTACTTAGTTTTTTAAAACATAATTGACTTATGCGAGTCAAACGTTGTTAAGCTGCATCTAAACTTTTGCTGGTTTTTTTTTCAATGTTTTGTTTTTTCAGATGAATAATGATGGTTGATATTTTATTTCTAAATGTCAGTAAGCTTTCAGACAACTGCCACCAACCTGAGTCAGCAAAGGCGAGAGGCATCCTTTTATTTGTTGCTCTTTTTTGTCTTTTCAAAACAAATCTCTATTTTCTTCAAAAAACTCTAGATAAAGTCATTTCATACTTTTCACATTTTGTTTAAAAAAATCTCATGGAAGGTCACAGATACTTCGGTCCAATGAGAACTTCTGTAGGAAAATTTGATAGTGACACTTAGAAAACAATTCAATTTTATAGTTTCAGCTAATGATACAATGTTTTAGTCATCTTTTGTTCATTATATCGACATCTTTTCTAGCATAGGATCGTCATGTTTCTCACTCCCCGCCATTTAACTTCTGTTCTGACTGCGGGCTGTTTGCCATTTAATTTGGAATTTTATGTCTCCCTTTTAAACCTCTGTATTTATAGAACTCACAATGGGAAAAAAAAAACATCCCATGACTTAGTAAAACAAATAATTAAAACAATGCCCTGCCAAATTAATTGCCAATAACCTGTCAAGCAGAGAAAGAAAAATACACAAAAGTAATAAATAAACATGACAGTTTCTGTGTTAGAGGTTCTTTGAGGAAAAAGGGAAATTTTAATGAACTTCTTTGAGGAAAAAGGGAAATTTTAATTATTTTTATGAATCTGTAAATGTTACTTTTTTATATAAAATCTGAATGTACCGCATGGTACAATTATCTAGTAGTTCACATTTCATTCACATTGGTACAAATGGGGCTAAATAAATCAATATTTGTAATAGTGTGTTAACTTCTGCAAATGCATATATTTTCTAGTAACTGAACTGATAGGAACCAATCATTTATTGACTGTAGAATTACTTATGTAGAAATTCTTTCTTGAATATATGAGGTAAAAACAATAACAAACCAAGCCCTTTGATAACTGTAACTACTATCCTGCGTGTAAATACAAAGCTATTTTGAGATGCAGGTGTTGAGTAATTATTTCTGGAAGTTCCCCTACTTCCAGCACAACTGTCCCCATTACTTAATTACCAAATGCAATCCAAGAATGTTGTAGTTTTTTTTTTAAAAAAGAACAACAATAGCCTTCATTCCGAGTGAAAAGAATGAATTTGTATGAGAAACCCAGGCAGTACTCATCTGCCCTGATACTGCAGAGCAGACTGACATGTTGATTTCTTCCCTGCAAGTTTGATGTTAATGATTTTGGCTTTGGATGGGGGACCTTCATAGAGTCTCAGCCATATGAGTGCAATTTCCGTCCCTGGGGATGAAAGCACATTGATTGCCCTCTGATGGTTTTTATGGATGTCCAGACCGAGACATTATTGAACTGCATTCACCGTTAATGCAGAGGCTGATTCTGAGGAGTCCAGCAAACTCCCAGTATGTTGTATAGATACCATGCCATTGTACAGACGGCGGCTTGTTGATTTTGAGCGCACAGAAATATTTTAGCGAAGCGGGGTCATTTTATATTCCACCGGCAAGCGCTGACTTCGTAAAGTGACTAAAGACCGCGGGAGGTTGTCACGTCAGCCGCCGTTGGTAGGCATAGAAATGAGCTTTTTATTCTCTGTAATTGATTAATATTGCAATTAGAATTTGCAATCAGGAAACCCTTCTGCATTCACACTGGGAAATTTCATTCCCCGCTGCTGTGCAGCAGGAGCGATGCTGCTGGAAGCCTCTCTGCCTTTATGAATCCCTCGCTCAGTGTCTGCTTGGATTAAGGACTCATCCAGCGCTGCCACGGCTGTGCTGATGGGGTTTGCTGGGGTTAAATGCTGAAATGTGCTCAAGCGATTCTCTCATAGCCCGGTCCTTGCTCAAGTGACCCGCAAAGACACAGAGGAGCGCAACTGCCCAAATGAATACGTTGAGACAGGAGTGTGAAGTGAGGACAAGGCCCACCTGCAGTGAAAGTGTGGTTCAAACGCTGTGGGGTTTTTGTTATATATATATAAAAGGCTAGCTGTGACCTTAAGGTCTGGGGTAAAAACACATGACTAGATTCTTATATCGTAAATCTCACAACTTTTTCTAAACATAACAAGCATTTTTCTTAACGAGCAATATAAATGAAGTACTTTGAATACTTTTTACTAAGTTCGTTCAACAAATTGATCAACAACCAAAAATATCCTTAATAAGTAATTTAGTAATTTTGCACAAAGGGACTTGGAATTTTAAACATGGAATCTCAAATTTGAATACTCGCTTAGGAACTATTTCTTTAAAAAAAAACTGAAATGACCTACCCCTGTTGACCTAACAAAATTCAAGTTCAATTCAATTTTAAATGTATTGAATTAACACCAAGTAACTTCATGGGGGGGCCCGCCCCACACTTTGAGAAACACTGATTCGTATAAACATACTTAACATAAAGCCATGCGTTCACAGTCAGGCGAATGCAACAGGTTTCACTAAGGCTTAGCATAAACATTATGTGATTCTTTGGAATCCGAAATCCACCCACCGCTGCTCTCACAGTCGTTCCACCAAGTCTGAATTCAATCCTGTGAGTGGATCGCCACCAAAATCTAATCATTTCTTCTCGGAGCTGTAACCTACACCTCGAGAAAATGTCATCCAAATCTGTCCTTTACTTTCTGAGCAGAGCTGCTGACAGAGGGCCAGAGAAATAACCTTTTTGACAGAGGTAATAATTACAAAGGAGTTGTGACTTTTTTAGCGTGTTGCTGAGTTAACCTTTGTAAAGATTTAAGTCGTCGTGCCGGAGAAGAAGAAAAAAAAAATCTTCGAATTGTGTTATTTAAGAAGTGATTTGTCAGGCTTGACTTAACCAATGTTTCCGCCTCCGAAGCCAATTCGTTTGAATTGATGATTAAGTAATACCTTAAAAATGTCATTCTAAAACATATAAACTTTATACAAATCTTCAGAGGGCCTCCTGGGATGTCACATGCTAATACAGGGGACCCCCGAGATACGGGTATTCCATGATAGGAGTCTGCAACTATTGCAAGATTTTGCTCCTGATACGAGGAAACATCTAGTTACAAGTGCTCAACCGAGCTCCATTTTTGGCTCCATCTGTTGGTGATGCAGACGATGATGATAGTAGTGATGATGATGTAGCAGTGATGAGTGATGAAGATTAACATTTAGTGTTTATTAGAAAAAATATAGATATAATCCTTCTCCTACGCTTAGTGGCCCCGACACTCTGTCTCGCTCACTGTCCCTCACTTGGTTATTTAACCCATTTTTATAACAATAATAAAAAATGTTTTCTTAATTATTATTATTTTATATCACCAATATATTTGTTTTTGATGATTAGATGGGGGATTTTATTTAATTAAGTAATAGTATATTTCTGGGCGGCTGGAACGAATGAGTTGTTTTTCAGTTATTTGTAATGGGGAAACTGCAATCACACAAGTGCTGTTGTGGAACGGATTAAACTCCATCCAGGCAGTCCACTGTATATGGTTACTAATGCCGGACTGGAAAGTCTGCACGTTTCAGGAAAGACACAGACTGACCTTTGCTCTCTTAACTTAATTTACTGTTATGATATAAATATGGAACACCGAGGCCCCACCTTTGCACTCCGCAGTGACACAGACAGAGGCGAGTTAAAGGGCAGGGTGATTTTAGAAGTCAGATATGTTTGCATTACTGAGGTGTAAACATAAACCCGCACACATGTCAAGAGGTCCAATTAGGTTCCTTATTAAAATACTGGGATGTATAAAAAAAAAAAAAAAAGGGCCACAGGCGGAGTGTACCTTTTTTCCTCCTGCATAATGACCCAGAATCACACAAGACAAACAGTGCAGCTCACAAACGATCCAGCGCTCCGTCCCCGCTGCCCGTTCCCCTGTTGATCTGAGATCTACTTATACCTTCTCCCCTGAAACGCTAGCCATGCAAGCATGTCTGATTTTTTTTTTGGTTCAACCTTGACACAACATTACACACATGCCATCACACCCAGGACCCTTGTATCTTATTCAGTCCAATTTGTGGTTCTGTTCCTTAGCCTACTCATTTTTCTCTCTTTTTTTTTTTTTGTTTTCCCTTTTCTTCCCTCTTTCAACTAAAACCCACAATCCCATTAGATCTCAAGAGGCTTAATCAGTGTCGGTGTCAGACTGCTTCACAGCAGCCCCTTTGGCCATCGCAGATATTACCCACCTTTTTTTTTTTTTTTTTTTTTTTAACAAATCTGTCAATCCACTCCCACGAAATGAAACGTATTTATTTTTCCGACTGACAAGCGGTTTGTCTAAAGCAAAAAAATGAAATAAATAAATAAAAAAAAATAATACAAAGCAAAAATGAATACAGAGAATAAAGGGAGCTCCAAGGTGATGTGGAAACTCACACAGAGTCGTTCCTTGAGTAAAATATTGGTCGAAAACTCACAGTGTGCGTTTGCATGGGGGGGGGGGGGCTAACCAAGGAAAGTCTCGCTTTGATTTAAGTACATTTGCATAAACCCTCCCAACTACACTGCTAATAAGTGATCTTCACCCGGGGAGTTGCCGGTGCATGGCAGATAAGCATATTTAAGACAACACAAGCAACATGAGCACCAGTTGGTTAAGGGAAGAAAGAGGGAGAGAGAGATGGAAGTAGTGGGGGAGAATATGGAGGATGTCTGCCAAACAGGGCTGTTTGTTTTGAAATTTAATTTTCAGGAACCCAGCTTCAGACATAACCACACATGATGAGTCCCAAGCTAATTTACTAATAACTAGGTAGTTTCACAGTGCCCCCTAGTGGTTTTCAAGGCCTGTCTGTGATGCTGCTGATAACAAAAAGAGTCTGATCTGGTCTGAGGTGAGGGCACGTGGTTGAAACTTTAGAAATGCTCCTGGAGAAACAGTGAGCGGCCAAGATCAGGGATCAGGAGAAAGTTCTGTCGCGTTCCAGCCTGACGTATGAGTTCAGCTTCATGAACTGTATTTGTTCTTCAGTCGTGTTAATGTTAATTAAACAAATATATGCTAAAACGTCTTTGGGACATGGGAAACATTTGAACTGTGTAAAAGGAGGTTAATGAAGGCCATAATCCTCATCACGATCATTTTTTTTACACTAGATGGGGCTAGATCATTAGTAGCACATGGTAGGAAACACTGACTGATCACAGCCAAACCACACGTGTGTTTTTTTTTTTTAATCCACAGTAGAACTCTGTGTAGAAACTGTATTTGAAATAAGGAGCTACATCAGAGTCAGGTTCCGCTCCCCTTCACTTTACCCTTGAGAATGAACTGACTTTGAATAAAGGACGGGAATAATGACAAAATTAAAGATATGTGCACACATCAGTGCCCGGGATTAGCCGGGGAGTTCGTTAATTCGCTGCAACTTTAATTTGCAAGTATTTGAAATGGTGGGAAATAATTGGTATGAGATATTTTTTGTGTTGATAGAAGGGAAGGCTAGGACGGGGACGGGGACGGGGGGGTTCATTGTTTAATTGCCTGACACAGGAAACGGCGGCTTATTAATTGACGGAGGGAAATTGTGGTAGATTGAAACAGTAGGTTCAGATTTTGCAAAAGACTGAAGGAGAAAAATTAACACAAGCATGAAAAAGAAAGAACAGCGTGGTATTTTGGGTGACGTGTTTACTCGGCTCACATCATTATCTGATGCTGCTCCTCTCCTTGCTGATATGAATCCTCTGTGTCTGCGACCACGTATTCCCACACTGACACACCAGTCATGAATTATTCTGAACACACACACTCTCTCTCTGCACTATCTTATCCATAAAGTGACAGTTTAATGCCAGCACCATCAACGCTGCACCAATTTTTCAGTCACATAAAAAAAAGGAATTGCAGACAGATTTTGCTGAGGTCTGTATTATTGTAATGTATGTTGTGGTGTCTCCTGATTGTCTCACTCTCGTAACCTCAAAGACACTGACGGCACGGTGGTGAGAAACATTTTTATTTGTCAAAAACCAGAAAGCTTACTGCAGGAATAACAAGATATTGATGGTGACTAACTCTATGGGACAAGAAAACAAGAAAAGTATCTTTAATTTTGAAATTTAACATTTTTTTAAATGTAAATGAATGTTTTGGGTTTTTTTTTTGCTTTATGGCTACATAGGTATTTCTCTAGTTTCATTTTAAATTCCTATTTTCTACTATGTTTGCCCTACTGTAACTGTTTTTTCGCAAACATTCAGGAGAAAAATATACTTAATATAAAAGTAATTATAATAAAAGAAATGCATCACGTGCACTTTGTTTGTTCCAAGAGGCTTTTGTTTCAGCTTCATTCTGGATCATATTGAAACTATTACTAATTTCTACTATTTTGATATGTTCGAAACCCCCAAGTGGCGGCGATCGCACCACCAGGGGTGCTAGTACCATGCTTTGGGAATCCCTGCTCTTGAGGGCCACATCAGTTATCAGTCAGTCATGTTCAATATGGAAAAAACATCTAATAAAGCTAAATCAAATCATCGTTGACATCGCGTGGTGGGCCAAATCTAAGGATTTCACAGACTGGAATTGGCCCACGGGCCAGGAGTTTGGCAACCCTGTTCTAAAATAACATGGCCTGCTATACCTCACAAATAGTTTGCTAAGAATCTAAAGCTGGGCTCTTTTCTTTTAAAATAAATATTACAGAATGGAATTATCATTTTATAGGTGCACTGGAAATCTCTTTCTAGTTTCTCAAAACCTGTATTTTAAGGGAGTGCCTGCCAATGTGATTATATCACCTTTCCATCCAGAGTAATGTATATTTTCAGGGCCAAAAAAGTCATAATTTATTTATGTCAAACTTTTTTTTCCTAAATTAACATATAAATATTTGATCTAAACTCTGAAATCCCACAGTGAATTAGCACCATTTTTAAACAGGATACCTCCATATATATATTAGTGATGAGAATATATGCACAGTGGGATAAAGGAAAGGGGGAAAAAACATAATTTGGCATCTCATGCAGTGAGTGGATCTGACGAATGGTCATCACTTTGGAGTGAGCCTCTGAAGCCATGACTGATTCTGACTAGTTACCTTGACAACAGAGTGGGACATCTTGTTGTTCCCTTTGTATCCAGTGTAATTATTCTTGACTCTTATCACGGTGATTTATGGTGATCAAAAATAATTACAATATTGCTAACAATTGGTATGATGTCTGTTTTTCCTCTGCATTTTCTGGCCGCCCTGCTGCAGATGCTTCATCCTGGACCATGTCACTCATCTCATCCAGATGACTCTTGATGACTATGATTTATTTCCTTCTCCATTCATGTGACGTCTGCAGCGTCTGTGTTCAGTAAGGTAGGTGTTTACTGTGGACGATGTCAGACACTAAAGACAGATGTGTTGAAGTCAGACTGTGTGTAAAGTATTGACGTGGTCAAAGAAACTCTTTTTCCGCAACTCCTTTTCTCTAATAATGTAAAAGAGTTTTTCAGATTATACGGGATTAACGACATGTACAGGGTCGGAGTCCACAACAATTACAAGTGAAACGAAATGTGACTGCCAGCAGACTAGCAGTGCTAAAATAGCCCAATATAATGCAAAAAAATTGTATATGTGTAAATATATATTTGACATTTTCAATATAGGTAGTACACTTACCTGTACGTTTAATACAGTAGTAGTAGTCCCCAACCTTTTTTGTACCAACGACAGGGGTTACTGTGGACCGGTGATACCTCGCCATCATTAATGAAAACTTTGTCTGAATGACCTATTGTTTTGAAACATTGACTAGATTCTTTTTGAATTAAGTCAATTAGTAAAGCTTCTTTTTGAATGAAGTCAATTAGTAAAGCTGAAGTACTGTATTTTCCGGACTATAAGTCGCACTTTTTTCATTCTTTCTCCGGGTTTGCGACTTATATAATAAAATATATAATTTCACGTTTGTTATTGTCACACTGACAGCCACTAGAGGGCACTCTAGGCTTCTGTACCAGTATCTGCTACTCCTGTACCCCTGAAAATTAACATGTTCGTTATTTTACACTGACAGCCACTAGGGGGCACTTTAGCTGGCTGATGCGACTTGTACTCTGGAGCGACATATAGTCCGGAAAATACGGTACATTTCCCACTGCGGCACGTTACCAAATAACCTACGGACAGCCATCGGTCCCCGGACCGTGGGTTTAGGACCTGTGTTTTAGTAGTTAGTGGCACAGCTATAGGCTTCACTACACCTTACACACTTAACTCATGAACCACAGTATTTCAGCCACATGACAGAGAGAATCACGCTCTGTGGTTATTTTGTCACAGTGTTCCAAAGGTGAGCTGACTCTCTTATGGTATTACACACACCTCTGGTTCAGACAGTAAGAGGCGGCAGCGGCTCAGTGTACTTTAAAAACCTCCCGCTCTAACTGGAGTCAGTGTGTTAGTCTATTTTCGGTGAGTTGCAGAGCTGGAACGAGGGCTGTGACCTTCCACGAGAGAGCAGCTGATTCCTTTCATGTCAGCATGATTCCTCTGAGTACAGATCATGTTATTATGGGTAACCAGATGACACTCAGATGCACGCTCAAACAGAAGAGCCTTATTAGTGAAAGCCAAACAACCCACACGGGCTCGGCGTTCGGAGGCAGTCCTGTCAAAGATGGGTACTGCTGAGGCCACCCTGATTGGAAAAAAAAAAAAAAACTCAATGTCTGTGTAAATTAATTTGATATAAGGAAGTTTTGAAAAATGAAACTGAGGTCAAAGCAGGCTGTATATGAGGTCAATGTTTTGCAGTGTTGAAATCAACAGATAAAGACCAGATGTGAACAATCATAAACATAACTGAATACTATGACATGCTAAAAGGCAGAAAAACATGTTCTCTTCGAAAAGAGTGGTGAAAGCTGTGGCGGTGGACGACGGCTCGTCTCCCCCCCCCCAGCGAGGTGACTCCTGTTGCTCAGCCAAGTATAAAGAGATTTGATGGAGCATCTGTTTGGAGAGAAGAGAAACAACAGGCGGAACAAGAGTGGAAATCTGGACCAGACAGTTTGCATATTGTCATGTAGCTTCGCATTACAAGCTGTAATAGACACAACAGTGGAAAATTACATCGGCGCAGAGAGGAGGCTTATAGAATTCAAATCAACGCATCAAAAAAATGAGCCAAGTACATTTCCTTAATGCATGTGTAACACGGGGAGGATTTTTAGCAGCTGTTACCGTCGTGCTGTTCCAAGTGTCTGTGCAGGGAGGAACAAAGTAGAACACAGCCAGAAATGTGGACCAATTAGGAGCTGCGGTGTCAGTCACCTTGTTGTCAACTTAATGTGATAGTGAGTCACATCCAAAGACGGAGCATCTGTTTGTGTCATAACAGAATCGGCGTTCAAGAGTAAAGCTGTGGTAATCTTGTTAGTGACTGGCTTTAAAGAATAAAAGCACAGGTTCGTCTTTAATATGTAAAAAAAGAAGAGAGAGCGATGACACGAGGCAGTCGCAGCTCCAGGTTTAATTACCGTCTGACATTTCTAGATAGCCGTTTGAATCAGCGTTTATCATTAGTGTTTGGTATTCAAAAGCCTTACCAGGAGAAGATCAAGTGATTTATCGACACATCTTTAAATGTTAAATATTAAATAAATTTAAAATGTATTTAATATTTAACATTTAAAGATGTGTTGATACAGTACACAATTTTTTTTAATTATGCCATTGCACCTAAAATCGTACCAAGAATATATAATAACTGTTAGCGTTTTTCATAGAGCTGGAGGATTTTAGTCATTATCATGGACCTGGGTTTTTTTCTACTATATCAATTGTCATCATACTCTAATTTGTCTTGTTATTATTTTAACATATTTTAACACATTGTCCGTAAATATATCCATCCTTTTTCCTACAACATGTTTTTGGAAAGGCGTGTGTGTGTCACACATTCTGGTGACCCCAGAGAGATTAGTCATTCTTCTAGTATTTTTATCATGCTTGTTATACTGCCGGCTCAGTGAACAAAGTGATTTCCAGCTCCAGCTCAGATTTTTCTTTTATATGCTTCATTTTATTTAATTTCAATTTATATTCATGAAAGTGTAAGAGTGAGATTGGATGTGTTGTCAATTACAATTTTAGAAAATTTAAAAATATATATTTTTATCAGTTTAGTCTAGTACAGACATGGGCAAACTAAGGCCCGGGGGCCAGATGCAGCCCGTTCAGCTTTTTAATGTGGCCCGCCAAACTTTTCCTAATTATATAATTTATTTATATTATCATTATACTTTTGCCTTTTTCTTGCAATACCCACATTTCCCCAATAGGTGATGTGTGATAAAAGTAAATGACATTAAAATAAAAATATTTAGGACAATTGTGGCCCTGTCCAGTAATTGCCACAATTGTGTTGTGGTAATTATTAGACATATTAGACATTTCAGGCAACCCAATTTGTATTCCAGGTGACCGTACGAGGGGTCACAACTCCAAATTTGAAAAACACTGAGTTAATGGAAGCCAGTCTTCAACAGCTTTGAACCACAATTTTGTTACATCGTCTGTTCTGTCTGCTGTTTTTTTTTTTTTAAATTCTCGACTGTTACCGTTCTCTGACCACCTGTTCCTTATCAATCTGTCCTGAAGCACTTTTAGGCTTTAACCTCTTCCCGTTGTTTTGAACATTTGGTAAACAACACTAAAATAGTTCTTTGTCCTAAGATAAAATGTGCAGAAAAAAAAAGCAATGACAGTGATTAATTCATTCGACAAGCTTCTACACTGTGTTACGTGACTTTTATTAACAAGTAGAAGACATTAGCTGGTTTCTTAGGAATGCTAACAAATCTTCTGGAGCAGAATTCCGAAAACATGTCCATTCTCTAAAAACTCATGACAGCAATAATTGTGCTTGAAAGCTGTTATGACAAACAGCTAGGTGTGTTTGCCAGTAACACGTGGACAGTGTGTGTCGTGGTGTCTAGAAAGGCTGCTTGAGGAATGACGTGCTTGTGCTTCTTGATCCACCAGATCGTTGTTCTGTCATGCAGTGATTTATGCACGAATGGAACGATTGTTGTAATTTTTGTCCTCTGCTTATGTCACCCTAGTGGCCACGGTGATATTTGATTTGTCTGTCAAAAACATGCTAATATCTGCCCTGTAAAACGTTGTCAATGCGCTCAGTTGGTTCTGCCCTTGACCTTTCAACAATGAAATATTGCTTGAGAAAAGCTGTACATTTGAATAGTTTGGAGTTTTAAATGAATAGCCAACCATTAAATGCAAAGGGTGATGAAGATTTTTTTTTTTTAATTTTTAAAGTTGTTAAAACTGTACATAGTTCAGGATTGTTAAACTGAGCGATCAAGATTCACTGTGTAATTTATTAGCAGATAACTGTAGTGTAGTAAAGTTTGTTGGAGAACATCCCTCCCCTCAGTGATTCCACCCAGGCATATGAGGAGATTTAATGTAGACTCTCATTAAAGAACAGGTATGAAAACACATTAAAAAAAACCTTAAGAGAGGGCCCTTCTTTTTTTTCCAGAACAATGCGGTTCACACACAAAACCATAATAAATTATTAAGATGTTAATTAAAGACAAAGCAGTGTAGACCACTGTACTGCACTCAGACAGTAAATGATCAAATACGAACAGAGAATTATTACGTCCGAAATCACTCATTCATTCCCTGCTCCCTCTATAGGAAATTCTACGTACCGCACTGTACCTTTCACTTATCGGTTAAATTTAAAAAATGGTTTTGGACACTGTTGTCACAACTGCAATGCATGATGGGATTTATGGGATATAACAATACGCTAAACGTTTGGGCACCACTATAAAATTATGTCACAACTGCAATGCATGATGGGATTTATGGGATATAACAATACGCTAAACGTTTGGGCACCACTATAAAATTACGTGGGGGGTTTCACAGACTGAATCTGGTTGAGTTTTCTATATACGTCTATTCTGATTCCTGGGCACTCTCCAGTACTGTGGTTTTCAAGCGGTAAAATACCACCTGCTCTGTAGCCACTTACAATCTGTCCTGTTTTGTTAATTAGAACAAGGTTATAAACTGGTCCCGGCTCTGAGTTAAAAGGTTTATTGGTTCAACAGAGCAGTGACCGTGTCAGTCTGGCTACAGTGCTGAACGATTCTTTGAATGTTGAAGTAATAGTAAAAGCATAGTACAGCATACAGTAATGACGTCTGATTTGGACTCTGTATGGCACTGTAAGGTTCTAGTAGATGCCACTTTGCGGAGCTTGAGATAAAACCTGGTTAAAAATCTGTGATTATTAAGTGGAGCTCATACTGTATCTCAGAATCATCCAAAGC